TAAATTATATGCACTAGGTGTAAACAGCTGTTCAAAAACATCTATGACTACCAACTATAAAAATGGAAAATAAAGAAAGTACCCTGGGGATAATACAAACAACCCAGGGGAATTTGAACTTTGGAGCCAAGTATGCCTGTGTACACAGCACTAGCAGGGGCATAGGAATAATAACAGAGATACAGCTGCATATAAGGAGAAGCCCAGAGATGCTGAGCTACCTAGAGGTCAGTACCATCAAAGCTGAATCAGAAGTGAAAATTCAATTGATTCATATATTAGAAATAATGTTGAATAAAACATGATATCATAGTGCAGATAGTGGTCAAAATATGGTATGATTCAGTACAAAAGCTGACATTATGCAGAAGCTAGCTCTTAAATGCTGATGTAAAAGAAAAAAATAATGCAGTATAGATCACTGGGATTCTATTCTTAAGTGGTTTTCAACCTTTCAATGAGAAAGAGTCACTTTTCAGGTGACACACAAGATCACTGTAAATTAGACATGAAATTACTGCATGTTTTTAGTTTGATCACAAGTTTCTCACATAACACTGACTGAGACAGAGAGTAAAGGACGAACAGACAGCAACAGGGGTTTTATTTCTAGGAGCTTTATTAGTTTATTAGAACATTAGTAGTTCCCAGCATGTAGAACATGATTTATAGTTCACAGCTCTGGGAAGCAAGTACACAAACCAGCATAAAATTCAGATAGATGCTTGTCACTGAAATTATTTTACAAAGAGTTAAAATAGGACAAATATGCATTTGTTGGAATTATAACTGCAAGTTTTAGGAACATTTGCAAAATGTGGAGTTAGATCATCACCGTTAGATCATTTCACCTTGTAATTGCTGTTCTTCTTTGTCAGACTCCTTACCCTGGACTTATTCAATATTAAAATAGTTCTTTGACTGACACTCTCATAGTTAGAATGTGAATGATTGGGCCTCTTTAGAGGTCTGTTACTGCAGCTGTTTCAAGCTGCTTTGAAAAGACATCAAACCGTTGATTACCAGACCTTGCTAACAAAAGCTACTAATTGGCATTTCATCTAATATAGCCCACCAGTACCAGTGCTTTCAAATGTGATTAAGTTATTCCAGAGTCCAGTTTAATAAAGCATATCCCTTGTATCTAGAGATTTGTAACTGTGATAACATATTAACAAACAGAAACATTTTATTCTAGACATCATCCAATGCACACGTGGGCATGTGAACTGAACTGTAATATTCCTTGCATCCAGAGATTTGTAACTATGACAACATATTAACAAACAGAAACCTTTTATTCTAGAAATAGTCTAATGCACACATGGGTGTGTGAACTGAGCTGTAATTTCATATTGAAGGACACCTGTGCTCTTTGTTCCTTTATTAAATGTCTTCTACACATTAAATACCAGGTGTATAAAAATTAAACATTATACATACACAACATAACAGCAAAGTATACTGTCCACACAAAGCCATGAGGGCTGATCCATGGTAGAAGTCAGAGAATGGTGACAGAGGCTAAAGTCCCACATCAGTGCTGATGGTGCTTGGTTTATTGGCTCTTTCACCATGATAAAGAGGATGAAGGTCATGCAAGATTGAGTCAGTCCTTGTACTCATCCCACTCTCACTGACTACCTCTAGACAATATGGGCTCATCCTACAACACAGCTTGCTTTCTTGACTGGCTTATTGAGCTATTTAGCTTTGCCAATCTTGATGCTCCCTCTCCAGCACATCATAAAAAAGAGTGCACAAGCTCCTCAATGTCCTGTGTTATGGTATTGTACACAGTGAAGGACAGAGTCAGCCTCCTGCCTCCTCTGTATCTCTGCTTTTCACATGCTGTGGAGAATTAGATATTGGCACAGTCAAATGTACAAACAGATATCAGTTTCACTGTATAAGGATATATATGTTTGTAGGGTAATTGGATCGGTGTGGGCGAAGTGACAGTGATTTGAATTATTAAGAACCATGAATGACGAAAATATTATGTATGTTGAGAAATTCTGAAAACCGAGTTAACAAAGAAGAGGATTTCTTCCCTGCTTGTTTCTAAGGTGAATGCTAAGATGTGGTGAGGCACAATCTTAAGGGAAGCAATTAAAGTTGTGGTTGCAGTTATTAGAACTGATTATGACTTTTTCTTTTTTCAACTGTTGATATTTTTCTTGATTTTCTGTATTCCTCTTCTAACATTCTTCACCTGTAATGCTTTTTTTCATGTTTTTTTATTGAACAAATCATTCCATTTTGTTAAGGTTGCCAGAGCTGTTCACCTTAACATTATGCAAACTCATCTAACGCTTGCATTACATACAAACCCAAGAAGTTTGAAAAGGATTAAAAAGATTCTGATGTGTTTAACTGGAGAAGAGCAACAGAAAGTACACACATCTAAGGAGTGATGGAATATTCTGCAGCTTCATTTGCGCTCCCCTACCAGGAAGCTGCCGATCCTTTAACAGGTGGAAGCAGGCATTGTGATTTAGGAGAGATTCGTGTGAAGCAGTTAATGGATCAAATCGCAAACGCTGAGCTGAAGTCCACCACCAGGAAGAATCAATAAATGTATTCTTGGGCTTGCAGCTTGTGTTCTGTGTAGGAGGTGGACTGCAGGATGTCAAGTAGGTGGTCTGTGAAGATGATTCAGGTTTTAAAGGGCTTTATGACCACTGAGGTTAGCGTGATGAGTTTTGTAGTCACTCAGCCTTTTTTTGCTGCAGTTCTGGATGGGAACACTGGGGTATAAATATATGCTCAAACAACCTAATGTGTCACAGATAGTTGGCAACTGGTGTTCGTCTTTGTGCTTCTACCAAAACATAACAGAGGCAGCAATCAATAAACAATTAACAAATCTCATTTATGATGCAGTTTGAGTAGAAAAAATGAATAGACGGAGAGGGGAAAATACAAATGTCAAAGAAATGGCATATAATGGCTTTAGATATAATGCACCTTGAAAGTTTCTGATTGACTGAATGTCTGTAGTTAAAGCTCCATGATGTCAATGTAACATCACATATACATAAATTTGAATGAAATTGATTATAAGGTCGCATTCTCTTAAAAGGGATGGTGCTGGAACAATTATCATTTGCCTGGATGACATCGAGCAAACATGATTCATGATACTTAATATGAATAACTTTTTATGATCAATGCTGTGGAATGGTTTTTCCCTTATTTCCCTTATTTCCTTATTTCTCTGTGTAGTTATTACAATATGATGTAAAGACTGTTGACTGCTGCTGCGGTGGCACAAACAGCAGATTAAGCCTTTAGGCTAAAAAGCTTGTCAGCGCAGAGACAAAAAAGACATTCTGTGTTTAACTAGACCACACACACACACACGCACGCACACCACGGGTCACTTTTCATTCAATATGCAAATTGAAAGTGCAGTTCATTTGCTGATGAAAGAGGATTCGTGCTCAATTATATCTTAATGGGTTGGATATAACAGCATGTTCGGGTCAGCATATTTTTATTAGATGATTTTTTTATTAGGTCAAATGAGACCAAAATTTCTTAAATCAGCTGAAGCAAAAATGAACTAACCTGACCGGAGGAGCCAAACAATACACACAAGCAGGCGCGCACGTGCACTTCATTTTCTAATTGCCCGTTTCTTTCTTTCTCTCGTTTCTTCCCAGAAATGAATGTGCGCGCTCATGCCCGCGCGCACAAAACACGAGGCGAATTCCAGGATTCATTTCGAGGGAAACAAACGCGCACGTGGGGCAGACAATAGAGGGCGTGAGTGCGCTTGAAGCGGGCGAGTGTCGGTGCCTCTGAATGTTAAGCACATTGGCCCATAAGCGCTTTACACACCCACAGCTCCTGGTGCAGCTGGGAGGGGGGGAGAAAGGGGAGTGGGGGTGGGAGAGAGGGTAGAAACGGCAACATGTCACCCGTCTAGGCAGTTTGTCAGTCTTTGTTTACTCTCCGTCAGCAATAAACTGTTCACTAATGGCTGGTGCACAGGGCTCACTCCGTCAATAATGTTATGTGTTATGGGGAACTCCCTGCTTTCAGGCCGGGAGACAAACGGTGCTAGTGGCTCTATAACAAACGGCCTGACTAGCTTGGAAATTAGAAATGCAAAGGTGATGTAGTAGAGCAGCAACGTGGAAATCCCGGTAGTGTTCAGTAAGCAGCGGACCGATGCTGCATTGCGCTTCTCACCGAGCAGGTCCCTCCGCTGAGAGACAACAACTCCACACCAGTGTGCGCACGTGTGTGAGTAGACTATGTAAGAGGCAGTGAAAGCCAAGAAACAACCGAAACACCTCTGAACGTTAAAAGAAAAGAAAATAAAATCAGAAAAAGTGGTAGATAGCATGCTTACCACTTTTAATTCATCCGTGGAATTTATTTCTGCATTTATTTACAATAGAGCATTGGTTGCAGTGTTGCCTTGTGGAAGGTATACTATAGGTTACAGTTTACGCATGCCGTGCAACTATACCCGTCACAGGATTGTAAATATTACAACAATTTCCCATTACGTGAGAGCGCAAAGGCTGTGTCAATTTCTGCCTCTTTCAGAAAAGAATGAATGAAGCCCTCTACACTTGCCTCTGCAAAAGAGCTGCACCAGCAGAAATATGACTGAGCGCTGGGCTGACTTGTATTACAGCCAGATCACTCTCTTTTCTATCCGTCTCTCTTGTCCTTTGTATGAATACGTGAATAAAGATATTTCCCCACCAGGAGCTGTCAGCAGCCCAGACACCAAGCCATTTAATCTTCCTATATGACAGGAAGGGGGGTGAGGTCTGTCCCCAGTAACCGACATACACACACAGCGACCCAACACCGCCTCTGCTGCCTCTCCCGTTACAGCTCAGCGATCGAGTTACGCGAATGGGGGAAAATGTTGCAGTAGCGAAGAGAGAGAGACAGAGAGAGAGAGAGAGAGAGAGAGAGCAGAGAGAGAGAGAGAGAGAGAGAGAGAGAGACTGCAGCATTGCTGGAGACCGGAGGCAGCAGCAGCAGTCCCGAGCAGTGCAGGTGAGAGGGAAAAAAAACCAGAGGAGGAGGCGCGTGTGGAGGAGTGAGAGAGAATGCGGGACTCTTGGAAAAAGACGCATCTACACTCGGTCCATCACCGAGACATCCATCCCGAACACGGGCTGCACAGGATTATGCTAAATTGATGCTGCACTCGGGATACCCCCCTTTTAGTCCACAAAGAGTGGCTCTGGTTTTTCTATTTTATGAGAAAATACATGATCAGAAAGTCGGCTTGCAAAACACTCCTCTCTCCAGATAACTTGCGTGAAGGAATCCGACTGCTTGGCACGTTGCTCCACTGCGGGAAAAAGAGGAAAACGCAGCTGGATCTGAAGGTAAGAAAAGATCCCGTCTAGCAGGATCCCAGAGACTTGTTTCAAACAGATTTTCATTCTTTTTCTGAGATTCGAGTAAATTTTGACCATCCGGAGAGCTGAGAGGCTGTTTTCTCTTTCTCCCTCTCCCTCTCTCTCTCTCTCTCTTTCTTTCCTCTAGTGGTGCTGCATTGCAGTTTCTAACTGTGAAAAACGCGAGAAAAGCCTCTGTCCCAAATGTGACTGGAATAAAAAGAAGTTACAAATAGCATTATGAACTGATAAGCGCCCTTGTCCGGATAGCTCTCCGGTTTACGGAGGGAAGAGAAAGAAGTGAGGAAGTGGATTAATCCAATTCTGATAAATTAGTTTTATTTTTCGCAGCAGGATGGATTTTTTTATATCTCTGAGGCTTAAACAGCCCAGCAAGATAAGAGCACTGCTGCTATAGAAGTTTGAAAATAAAAATCACTGAGTATAGGAGGAGAACAGAAGAAAGGAGCCTGTGCCACTGAAGTGAACTACAGTCAGAAAGCTTTTCTCCGGACCTCAGGCAGCAGTCCACAGAGAGTGGTAGAGAAAGGGTAAGAAAGGATAAACCAAACACCCACGCCGTGAGGTACACCAGAACATAAATAAAGAAGAGACGAGCCGCAGCTACGAGGCAGACAGAGCGGGAAGGAGAGAAGCGAGAGAAAGAGCCATGCAGAGGCTTGGTGCAGTGCACTCCTCCGCGGCGCAGGTTCTCAGCCTCGTGGTCTTAGTGCTGCAGCTGCTGACTCAGCTACCGGGTGCCGACTCAGCTCTCCGGTACCGGGTGGCGGAGGAGGGTCCACCTGACGTCAAGATTGGCAACGTAGCCGCAGACCTTGGCCTCACAGCAGGTACAGGCAGTGGGGATGTCACCTTTGCCCTGGAGAGCGGCTCAGAGTACTTCAAGATTGACAATGTGACAGGTGAGCTGACAACCGGCCCACGGCGCATCGACAGAGAGAAACTCCCCCAGTGCCAGATGATATTTGATGAAAATGAGTGTTTCTTGGACTTTGAAGTGTCAGTGATCGGGCCACTGCAGAGCTGGGTAGACCTGTTTGAAGGCCGTGTTGTCATCACAGACATCAATGACAATACACCTTCCTTCCCCTCACCCGTGCTGCAGCTCTCAGTTGAAGAGAATCGGCCCATTGGAACCCTTTACCTGCTTCCCACTGCCACAGACAGAGATTTTGGGCGAAACGGCATTGACCGTTATGAGCTCATTCAGGACGGTGGGGCTGGGTCAACTTCATCAAGACGCACAGCAGGAGGAAACCCCATTACTAGAGTAGATGGGCTTGGGGACCGGAGGGGTAGAAGTGGAGATAATGGGGGAGGAGCTAGAAGCAGTGTGTTTGAACTGCAAGTGGCAGATATACCAGATGGTGAAAAACAGCCACAGCTCATTGTGAAAGGCACCTTAGACCGTGAGCAAAAAGATTCATATGAGCTTGTCCTGAGGGTTCGAGATGGAGGGAACCCACCACGTTCCTCCCAAGCTCTGCTTCGTGTTTCTATCTCTGACGTGAATGACAACAGCCCACAATTTGAGAGGTCTACATATGAAGCAGAAATGGCAGAAAATGCCCCTCCAGGTACACCTGTCCTCCAGGTTAGAGCGTCAGACCGTGATATTGGAGTCAATGGGCAAGTGGAGTACGTCTTTGGAGCTGCAACTGAGTCTGTCAGGCGACTCCTAAGGCTGGATGAAGCAACTGGATGGCTGAGTGTTCTCCACAGGATTGATAGAGAAGAAGTGGCACAACTGAGGTTCACAGTAATGGCCAGGGACCGCGGCCAGCCACCCCGCACTGATCGAACCACGGTAGTTTTGGCTGTTCGGGATGAAAATGACAACGTTCCTGTTGTAGAGATCCGAAAAATTGGCCGGATCCCTGTACGAGACGGAGCCTCTTTAGTGCCAGAGAATGTCTTGGTGGACACACCAGTAGCTCTGGTCCAGGTGTCAGACCGGGACCAGGGAGAGAATGGAGCTGTGACTTGCACAGTAGTAGGAGATGTCCCATTCACACTCAAGCCAGCTGGGGAAACAGTGCTCCCACCCTTACCTGCAGATGACGCCTTTGACAGGTAAGATGAACCAAAACAGTTAACAGTGATAACTTACACAAAATCCTGAAAAGTTAAAAGTAAACATGCCAGGATAAGTGTTTATCATTAAGCATTTGCTGAACAACACTGAATCAAAGACTAGATAATAAGTTACTTGGGCACACACTGTCAGATAATGAACCTCTATCCTAATAATAATTCCTTGCCAAAGCACGGTGGAAATTTTTTAAGGAGCACAACACAGTAAGTTATCTTTGGTAATTATGAAGTAATGAGGCATTTCAAATAAAAGTTCAATATGATACACAACTTCACTTGAGCGGGGGACAAAACATTAGCAAACAGGCAGAATATTAGTAAAATAACATGTGTCTATGTATCATTAAGCACCTGAATCAAAATGACAGAGTTGAAAAACAACAGCGAGGTCATTGTTTATTAAAAAAAGGGTCATATACATCAAACAATACAACTTTAAAATTCCATCAAACACAGGTAATTTATAGCTATTTATTAACACTTATGTACAGTGATTAATTCAGTTATCAAAGAACACAGATGTGTGAACAATCAGAGGGAAACTTGAACCCTTGATCCTTATACGGAGAGATTCTGTGGGCTCTGTCATGCTATGGAGGTCAAGTTCCTGGAACAGTTTGTTCCCTTAAAGGCAAGGGTCTCCAAAAATCAATACAAAGGTGTCCTGAGTGCTCACCTTTATTGCTTGATGAAATATTTCTGTACTGATGGCCTTAATCCATAGGGCACAAGGGGTCACTAAATGGTTTATGAGTATAAAAATGATATTAATCATATGGTCTTTGTAGTAACCCCATCTCAACCCAGCACAACACCTATGGGAGATTTTGAACCATATACAAAGACCTGACTCTCTACCATTGTTATCAAAACATCAAATGTGGGAATATATATTTTTTAATAACAATATTTAATCCCCCCCATTAGCGTTTCGCACACTTGTAGAATCAGTGATGAATGGTGAATAAAAGTTGTTCTAGAAGGAGCCTATTAGCTTAGTAAGATGCTTTTCTTCTTCTTTTGTAATTTGTCAACCCCCATTTTCCATAAACTGTACACTAATGTGAAGCTACTTCTTGGCTCACTCACTGGTATCTCCTCACCATACATACCATACAAACCTTGAACCGTGTGAACTGTTATCATGATTCAGAAATATACAGCATATGAAAATGTATATACACCTGCTTATTCTAACACTGATAACAACACATCCAGCAAACCGTTTCCATCTAGATCTCTGTTTTTCACAGAGAATTCAAGTGTTTTTCCATGCCAATTTCACTTGAGCTTAGTTCAAGTAGTGTCACTCATTCACTAACGTTACAAAGTAGGGAAGCTATCTTACAATCTGTAAACTTAAGGCACAAATATTCATTATAGTCAAGGGCTTTGCACTTTTAAATAATATTATTCCAGCAGTGATGACTACAGATGTCAGTGCACTTCAGTCAGTTATAAGAATGTTCCCTTAAGGCATTGAATGGCAGGAGTGAGAAAAAAAAGACAAAGCCTCTTAGGATATTATTGTTAGTACCAGACACCTGTACAATGAGGTTAGTGGTTTTATTGAATGTAAGGCTATTGTCGACTAAAGAAATTTGTCAAAGTGGCAACGATAAGAGGTCTTCACCACATCGATACATGGTTTTAATTAAAATGTCACAATCACAGTTTCTCCAGTGTTAGTGTCCCTTCACAGATTATTGCAGTCACCTTGGAAGATGTTTTTAAATCCAATGATTATTAAAGTAGCAAATATTAGAGCTGATTGAAAGAAAAGTGAAATTATTCGACAGATGTTAATTTTCAGGCAAAAAAAAAGAACAAGGTATTCTCTAGTCCTTTCTTTTTAATTGAGTGCTTGTCTTTTTTTTGTTTCTAATCACTGTGATCTACGTATCTCTATGCTTTTTTTCCTGTTGGAGAGACAACACAAGACTTTTGAAGATGTGACCTTGGGCTTTCTAAAATCAAAAGAAGTGACATTTTGTATGATATGATAATAGAACATTTCCCATAAAAATACCAAGACAATAGCCACTTAACTTTCTGCAACACCTGGTGTCTCAGTGCCAGTGCAGTTTAATAAGAAATATCATTATTTGTCTCCACCGGAGATCAGACGTATATCATTTCCCTGTAAAATGTCTATTGCATTCATGTTTCTTTTTTTCTTTTTTCTTTTTTTACAGGAACAAGAAAAAGTACTTCTTACACACTTCTGCCTTGCTGGACTACGAGGCCACAAAAGAGTACAGTGTAACAATTGTGGCAGTAGATTCTGGCAGCCCCAGTCTCTCTAGTAACAGCTCATTGATGGTGCGAGTTGTAGATATCAATGACCATGCTCCAACCTTTGCCCAGAGTGTTGTGGAGGTCCACTTTGCAGAGAACAACTCGCCTGGCGAAAGGGTAGTCACTGTTGTAGCTACAGATGCAGACAGTGGCAAGAATGCTGAAATTGCCTACTCACTCGACCCTGCTGCTAATGGACCATTTTACATAGATGCAGACAATGGAGACATTCGTGCCACTGGGGTTTTGGACCGTGAGCAGCGAGAGCGATATGAACTGCGGGTTTTTGCAAAGGACAAAGGCACCCCGTCTTTACAAGGCTCTGCCAGCGTTGTTGTTCAGGTGACCGATCGCAATGACAACGCTCCAAAGTTTGTTCAGGAAATCTTCACATTTTATGTAAAGGAGAATCTGCTAGCCAACAGTCCAGTTGGCATGGTCACTGTGACTGATGCTGACGAAGGTCAGAATGCAGAACTAAGTCTTTTTGTAGAGATGGATGGAGTTGATGAGAAGATGACAGGAGAAAAATCAGAGGGAGAAGATGGTAAAAAAGAGAATGAAGAGTTGTTCTCCATTGAGAACAACACTGGAACCATCTTCTCTTCTGCATCATTTGATCGTGAAAAGCTTTCCACCTACACTTTCCGTGTCCGGGCAGTGGATGGAGGTGAGCCTCGCAAAACTGCTACTGCCACCGTCTCGCTCTTTGTGACGGACGAAAATGACAACGCCCCCGCAATTACTTCTCCAGCCAACGAGTCCTACACCCTCCTACCGCCTGCTAGCAGTGCCCGCACCATTGTCAAAACTGTAACAGCCATAGACTCAGACACAGGCCCAAATGCTGATCTTCACTACTCTCTAGTAGGAGGAAATCCCTTCCGACTGTTTGAGATTGGCCACACCAATGGAGTGATCACCCTGGCAGAGCCTCTGGAGCGCCGCCACAGAGGTCTACATCGTTTGGTGGTCCGAGTGAATGACAGTGGCATCCCCTCTCTCTGTGCCACTGCGCTGGTTCATGTCTTCATTAATGAGAGCTTGGCTAATGCTTCACTAGTGGATGCACAGGTAACTTCATGTATTAATACAGTCTTATGCTAACTGATTTCTCCCACAGAGTACATTAAGTTAAATAACTCAAAGTAAAAGATTTAATGAAACCTACTGTCCCTTTTTGGTAAATGTGAACCACAATTCCACACTGTTGATAATGATAACAAATATTGACAGCGATGGTATTGCCCCGGGGCCTACTTAAACGGCCACAATGTCTACACATTACAGTGCAGGAGCTGTGGCTGCAGAATGAATAAATGCAGAGATTCTGCAGCCTGCATGGTGTAATTTTCAGACAGTTTTTTGGGGGAAAATGTGCCTACATTTGCCCCAGATAAAGAAGCCCATTTCTCAATTGATGGCTACTGGCAATGCCAGCTTCTTTGTAGTTTGGAGCCTACTGGAGTGTGTTCTTTGTCCAGCATGCATTGTTATAATGTGTGTGTGGTTAAAATAACTGTTATTACTGAAGTGGTTCTCCTTTTATGGTACATTGAACTCAAAGCTGAAAGCATTAGGTGTGTGTGTGTGTGTGTGTGTGTGTGTGTGTGTGTGTGTGTGTGTGTGTGTGTGTGTGTGTGTGTGTGTGTGTGTGTGTGTGTGTGTGTGTGATAGAGAGAGGGAGAGTGAGAGAGAAAGAGGAGAGGAAAAGAGTGTGTTTGAGAGAGAGAGAGCATTAGAGGTAAGTATGTTAGAGAGCCAGCAAGAGAGAGATCGCCCTGTCCCAGTTTTGGCCCTCTGATACAGAATAGGTTGAAGTATGTTCGTACATTTGAATAGAAGTTATTCCAGAGCCGTGTCTCTTAACTATAGACTTGAATATTAATGCAGTATAGAGTTTGCATTGTGTTTTGAAGCACACTGTGAAGAGAAGAGACACCGGCAGAGATTAGATAAAGTAAACCACTTCAAATGGTAAAGGAGTAATGTTTACTGGGAGAATAAAGAGAATCTTTAATATATAATGCATCTGCTATTACTGAATAAATCTGTGTGGCTTTCTGAAACAGAAGTCTTCAGAGCAAGATCAGAGTTGGCTTGAAAGAGCCACACAGAGGTGCAGAGGTAATTGACTAGACTCAAAGACATTACCGAGATACCAAAAATAACTACAACAGTATGAGTTCAAATTTAGCTTATGCTATGCTGGTGGAAATCTTTCTTTCTCCTCTGCCTCCGTATTAATCAAATGAACTTCCCATTACACTTTAAAAATGTTCAATTAAGTTATAAATGCTGGCAGGTAATAATTACTGAAACTTTATCTCTGGTGTGGAAATTGGTACTGGCGCTTAATTAATTAAATTGGTTCAGTGGCTTTGTGGTTAGAGTGTTTGTGCTGAACTTGTGGTTTCAACTCCCACTTGAAACTTGGGCAGGAACTGATTCTTAGATTTTCTCTGAGGTAAAGGTCTTCAGCTGTCCACTCTTTGCATGTATCATGATTTATATAAATATAAATATTGTATAAATAGTAGTGAGGTAGTGAGGCGAACAGTAAGAGTAGTAAGAGGCACACATATAACAAGCAAAAAAAATGTTTTGGTCAATATGGACAGCATAAAAAGTTCCACTGAACTCTAACCTATGCAAAATGTTAGCTGAATCTGTAAGAGCACACTTTATAATGCAGATGCACCTCTTGCAGACTCTACCTCGTTCTATGCTTGTTGTAGTGTATTGCTTCCCTGGGTGGGAAGATGATTAAAAATGAGACACTTGGAGAATATATATGATTGCCAGCTGAGAAATGTAAACTTTAACTAATTTCTCATTTTCTGTTATGTTAGTATAGCTATTTTAGACAGTTGCATAGCAACTACAGTAAAACTGTGCTAAACATGCCCTCTGAGTAATCTAAATCCTTGTATTGAACCACACTTAAAGCTAAATGTTGTGTTTTAGCAAGGGAAAAACATCCTGTATTACCTCAGCTTGAAAGTTTTGACTCACCTCATGTGGAGACAATTTGGCATCCAGATATCTTTTCGAACAAAGTCAAACAAATGAGTGCAGACAGAGGGTGAATGATTTTATCACAAGGGAGTAAATAGAACACCTTATGAATTTAACACTTAAAAATAGAAATATATATAAAAAAAAAACAAGAAATCAGAGAATTTAAAAAGATCACGAGGTAAGTGATGAAACAATACCAGGGCAGGAAGAATTAGCTGCAGTATGCCTAAATGACCATGCCACTGAATCAAACAATAGGGTGTAATATATCCAAGCTGATATAAAAGCTGTCTGTGATTACAATATGCATAGTTTAGTGTGACTGTAAGGAGGAACTTGAAGGAGTAATTGAGTAGAAGTCATTGAAGAGAGAATACCTCCATCTCATAATGAAGTCAAACTGAGTGGTGGATGGATGCCAGATGCAATTAGGGAACGAAAACGGCTGCTGCTGCTGCAGTAGCACCGCGGCAGAAAATTACCCCAGTCTTTTCTATCCAACATTACTGGGAGAGCCACATGTTGGATAATTATCTGGAATATCATTCTGCAGAGTTTGAGGTAGAAGAAGAAAGAATTTAGTTGTGAGATTTTAGACATTGCTGTCATTTGGGACCCCTTAAGGTACATCAAAAGTGTGATCTACTATGACGTCCACTTTCACATTTTGACCAATTGTATATTATCTCAGTTCATCTATATATATATGAATATATATTTTTTCATCTTAAAAATGTAAGATTTTTAAAAGTGTTGCTATTCTGTGGTGTGAATTTATTGAGCCCCCAACCGGGAATGAGTACTTTTCAAGTATCGGCTAGTTGTGTGGACTCCTTGTCTGGATGCATCAGTATCTGCAGTGACATGCTGATAACTGAATCCTTGGAGAGTAGAACAGATAGATGCTAATGTTAGGTCCAGCTAGAATAAAGCTCATGCAGCAGAATGGAAGATTCCTCTGGGATTTTGGGATGCGTCACAAGGTTGAATTCAAATGTAGGGGTAGAGTTGGCAGCTTATATCGCTCAACACTTGGGGCATCTAATGTTCTTGTGCAGGTATGCTGTACCCATACCTGCATACAGCATGCATATCTACACTTGGATGACAATACATGGGCTGTCTCATCTTCTCACATGCACACTCACTCACACACACACACACACACACACACACACACACACACACACACAGAGAGAGAGAGGAGATGATTCACAAGCATACACCTTGCACCATTTCGTGTTTTTTGCCGTCACATGTGCCTGTGTGCTCACTCAAACACACAGAGACTCGGCGGCTGCACCATCACATAGTGGTATCTGTACATATGACACACCATCGCAATGTTCTCTTTGTTCTGCACACACAATACAGCAGACAGTGCAGGGGATGCGCTATGCCAGAGACGCCCAGTAGAATGAGAATGGAAAGGAATACTGCAGGCAAAAGAACAGTGGGGCTGATGGGAGAGCGGAGCCTGGCAGAGAGGCCCTCTGCAGTGGAAGCAGAATAATGGAATAGAACCAACACAACTCAGTGAAAAACAATGAAACTTAACCCTGATAGATGGGGATAAAACAACGAACTACAACACTGCCAGGCTTATTCTCAGCTCATGGATAACAAAAAGAATGCCTCTGTATAAGTAAGCCTCATATGCCTTTTGTAGTATAATGAGCAAGTTACACAGTGCAGCTGTATGAGCAGAATTTTCTGCAGTATTACTAACACTGCAGGTTATACCATATATTTTTTTTATTGAGCCATCTGAAGCCACGAGGGCTCATATTTAACTTCTTTTTCTCCCATCCATACTTTATTATCTAACATTCTTAAGCAGCAGGCAGCAGGAATTACATGAGTCAGTAGTTTTTTGTCTAGATGGGTCAAAGAAATTGTCGTATGAGCTCTGTGACAAGGTGTCGGGATTGCTGAATGAGTTGTCTCGCTAACAGCTTACACTCTCTGCGGGCATGTGTAGGTGCATGAATAGATATCACTGTGCTCATATCTGTCTAAACTTGTAGTGCATCTAAATAATGATTCTGCCTACAAAGCTGGTTTGTATTGATTAGTCGTATTTAAATTCATGAGTCTACCCCATATTATCAGCAGGGCTGTGCAGACCAGAACACCACAGCCTCATTGTCTCCTGTCGAGCAAGGCTCCATATCCACTAATGGCTGTGTTTGTGTTTCAGCATAACCCACTTTCTTATAATGATCCTTTTATTAGTGTACAAGCTCAGAGCATGTCTGAGCTTCAATCCTGTATATGTGTTCATAAAGGAAGATAATTGTTAGATCTATCTTAAGCCCAGAGACAAAATATGTGCAATATGCTGTATATTGAAATGGATTAGCGTGGATTTACCTTGTAACAAAACCATTATGCTAAACAGAACAAACTTGAGACCTTAAAATGTGGGGGAAAAAATGGCTCTAAAGACAATTCCACAGAGCTCACATATTTACAGTGGCCTCCTTATTTGTCTAACTGTCCAATTCGCAGTGCAAAAATTGTGATACCAAATCCTTAACAAATCCATGCCTACGCTTTCATTTACAATAGGGACATTGTTCATTGATGAGACAGTAGATGAGTTTGCATTCAGAGGGTGTATTCATAATGTCTCTTGAATTTATTTTCACATTTACTGACTGTTTCTCCTACTTTTCCCATTCCTAACTGCCCATGAGCTCAATGTCTAAAGTTTCATTTTATTCTTTTAATCAGCTTTAAACAGTATAATCCCAGATTTTTTCTCTACTACTGCAGAAGATGCGAGATCACAAGTGAAGAATTGGAGGCACAATTTGAAATGCTGCAACTGGGAAGCAAGAGCAATTATATATTTAGTGACACCCTATGTGTCTGGGAATAATGGGAAGCTCTCACACTAAAACACAGTGTAATTAAGATGACGATGCTGTTTGATGTTTCTCTGTGGCTCACCCCCACTGTGTCATCTTTTTACAGTTGCTGCTCTAAACTTTTTATTGATGGTTTGTCTCTGCATTCCTTTTCCTTCTTTACTCTGCATTTGCATCTTATCTTTCCCCCTATTCCCTTTCTCCCCAGGTGGCCCGAAGCCTGATGGCTCCGCTGTCACTAGACATTGCAGGGGACCCAGACAGCGAGCGTGCGTTAGGCAAGCAGCGCCTCAGTGTAGCAATTGGTGTCCTGGCAGGAGCCGCAGCAGTCATCTTGGTTATTCTTCTGGTAGTCACAGCTCGGCAGTGTGGTGCTCAGGGTAAGAATGGCTATGAGGCCGGCAAGAAGGAGCCAGAGGAAGATTTCTTTGGTCCCACGGGGGCGCAGCCACAGGTTGGCCGTGGTGGGGGATCAGATCGTGGACGCAAGCCTCGTAGGGACAAGCGCAGTGGAAGCAGTGGGAATGGACCTGGAGGAGGAAAGTCAGACAGAGCCCTCTACAGTGGTATAGTCACAGTCAACGGACTGCGTCGCCATGCCAATGATGATGATGAAGAGGATCTGAGCAGTGCTAGTGAGCGCCTGGCAGCTCGTTACTGTGCTGTGGATGGTGACCCTGGAAGCCCGCGGATGGGCGGTGGTAGGAGGCATCAGTCAAGCCCAGATCTGGCCCGGCACTACAAATCCAGCTCGCCCCTCCCCGCAGTGAATCTTCAGCCTCACTCACCTCCAGCAGAGGGAAAGAAGCACCAGGCAGTCCAGGAGCTGCCTCCCTCTAACACCTTTGTAGGCAGTGGTGGGTGTGTGGGAAGTGCTGGTTCCAGCAGCAGCAGTAGTGGAGGCAGTGGCAATGCAGATGCCATGTCCCTGGGATCTGACCAGTGCTCAGAGTATGGCTGCCAGACTGGAAACAAGTACAGCAAACAGGTAGGCGCACTGGATGTTGAATATTCTTTTGACTGGTCCCTCTTTACAACTCTGTCTTAAAAAACTCAGCTCTTTCTGTCTCTTTGTCTCTTTGTCCGCTGTGTGGCTCCTGATCTCCTCCTTTTCATCCCAGGCTTCATGTCTTCTTATTCACACATCTGCTGACATACTGTACTGCAAACCCTGTCGCTGATGTCTAAACACCATTTTATCTCCACAAAATAGCTGTCAGTGTGTGTGTGTGTGTGTATGCTTGCGCACTTTTTTGTGTCTGTGTCAGCATACTAAGCCTATGAGCAGTGTGGCGGTAGCCTGCTGTCAGACGCGTGCGCTCCATGTCAAACATCGGCCCTCTGTTTAGCAAGATCTACTACAGGGCACATACATCAAGCTCACACTGTAGCCAAAGAGTACGTGAATGTGCATGATTGTGTGTATATGTGCGCGCGCACACGTGTGTGTATGTGACACCGTGTGTATGAACCCCTGAGGAGATCAGTCGGAGTGAAAACAGAGAGGGGTGTGGGTGAATAGTTGCTTCCAGCAGGGTAATTGGTCATTTTGTGTTTCTGTTTCCCTTGTCAAGCTGTTATCTTTCTTCCATTTATATATATGTTTATCCCATAAACAATATCAGTCATATAGTTAATGGATGCAATGGCTTTGGTTTTCAATCCAGGCGCTGCAGTTAAAAGCTGAATTCCTGCTGATAAATAAATGCACCATAGAGATGGTCACTCACCCCTCCACCTACACATGTATACACATTTACAAATACACAGACACAGTCACTATCTATCATCACGGCCACACTGACACAGCAGGGTCTCCGGACTCTGTAGGGAGTGCGCCCACGAGTGATATTTGAATGACAGCTAACCCTTCTTAAAGAGGCGGGCTTCTCATTTCCTTGACAGACAAGTCTACATTTATCCTCCACGTGGTGAGAAAAGTGCTGATGTGGTCATTAAAAGGGAAGGAGAGCAGCTTCTTAGGCTAATCAGTTCATACATGGGCTCTCTGATCCCGCTCAGTGCACGTGCACACACACACACACAGGAACACTCACACATATGCATACGCACACAAACTGCAGAGGTTAATCCATTACGGATTCAATCCTCTTAATCTGCCATTCCCAGGGAAAGAAAATGCTTACTGGGAGAGTTTGGTGTTCATGCTTATGTGCACTCAAAACATGCCAGAGCAGAGAGAGACTCACACAGACACACAAACTGACAGAGTAATGAATTATTGATCGGATGTGGTAATTAACTCCCATTCTGCAGTGAGGTTTGCCCCCTCCCCACCCAAGCTGACCCCCAAAATTTCCAACACCCATTGGTTTCATACACAGTGTGTGTGTGTGTGTGTGTGCTGGCTAAGATTTTGGGAGCTCATGCGTGACTTGGTTTCGCTTACATGTCAAAATTTGTTAACTCAAACAGTTTAGTGACATGAGCAGGTTTTTGTTTGTGGGTGCCTGTCACTTTGCTTGCAGTAGTGCTTATTCCATGAAGGCATATGCATTTTATACATGAGTGCAAGTGAGAGATAGACTCCGGGAGTAATAGGTGGTGTGCATGTGCCAGATGTAGGATTTGCGACGCCAACAGAAATTGGAATAGAATTAGATCAGGAGTGGGTGAGAATTACAGAAGGTTAGGAGGGGGAAGAAGATGGAGTAAACGAGATGGGGCAGAACTTCTGCATTTTAAAGCTACTTTACTGGGTCAGTGAAAATATTAAAAGCTGTTCATTTGAAGTCAGCACATCATCAGACCAACTTAGATGCTCATGAATAAAGTGCAAGATTGCATCAAAGAGGAAACAAGATCACAAGACAGCTCAGTTAATAGTGTTGGTTGTTTTTATGTAAATTGTCCACTGAGGAGTAGGGAGAGAGAGAGTGGGAAAGATATCTGTATACGAATGGAAATGGTGAGGGACAAAATGGTGAAAAAAACAGAAATGTGGTCTAAATGATTAGCTATTTAACTAAATTCTACAAGAAGTGTGTGTGTCCGTGTGTGTTTGTGTTGGGGGTCGGGGGTGTGTGTCTCTAACAGTAATAGAAAAATTATAGAGGTTCAATACCAAACTTCTTCTTCTTGCTCACCACAGTTGATCAACTGCCTCCATCTCACCCTGTCTCTAACATCCTCCTCTGTCACGCCGACCCCCTTAATTTCCACTATATCCATGAATGTTGTCTGTCTTTTTCCTCTTTTCCTTCTGCTCAGGAGCTCCATTTTCAACATCCTTTCCCCAACATACCTTTTTTTTTTTTGCCTGTCCCGTTTGGCTCTTTTGCCATCAGAATTGTTGTCTAAAGGCAAAGAAAGATGCCCAACGGATTTACTTTACCAAACTGACCATCCCAGCCTTGCCGTAATGGTCCATTTGATTCACCTTTTATTGTTTATTTTATTTTCACTTACTGAATACGGGACAGACTTGACTGGGGGAAAGAAGGGGAGAAAGAAAGAGGGAAAGAGAAACAGCTGAGAAGAGGGACGGGGGAGAAGGGCAAAAGACAAAAACCAACAGAACGGGCAGAGAAAAAAAATGCATATATCAATCACCTGGATCACCTGCTGAGAAAGAAAAAAGAAAGCAAGCAGAAGAGAACAAGAGTAATAGAATAAACAACATCACAATGATATATGGGAATATGACAGTAAATACTAAATGTTAAACATTATTGTGCAGCACATAAGATCAACAGAACACAGTGTGCTTTGAGGTAGGAGCCAAAAAGGGTGTAGTTTGTGGGTGTGATCACCCGTGTGTACACCTGTGAGCATGGACGCACTTGTTTTTTGTTTTTTAAAAGGTTCCTTCATGTAATAATCTGCTAGAGGGTGTGGGGGGGGCCACAGCCCCGTCCTCCAGGGCGTGAAGCAGGTGTGGAGGAGATCAAAACTCCAGACATCCAGAGGCCCCCAGAACACAAGAGACCAAGGAAGACCAACAGAGGGGCAGCCGCGCCACTGTCCCGGAAAGAGCTGAGGAGAGTCCCAGATGAGGGCTCACTCAGCAGCCGCGGAGCAGAAGCCAGGGGGGTTGCAGTGACGCGCCCGTGAGCTCCGCCGGCAGCCAGCTGCGCCTGAGTGACCGAGCCCCAGGCCGAGAGGCCGGGGGCACCCCACCTCCGAAGTGGCCCGAGCGAGCCCCAGGCTCCAGGCCCCGATAAGCGGCCACCAAGGAGTGAGCCGGTGTGTACCTGGACGCCCATCCCCGGACACAAAGAACCACCAACGCACCGATGTCTGAGGGGGTCCGCCACTGGCAGGGGAAGTGGTGGTAGGGGGAGATAGGCCTCCAAACCTTGGAGGGCCTGAGATGTCCCCAGAGAGGTGGCGCCTGACACCCAACCTGACATATAGACACAGACATACAGGCACACACAGATACAAACATCCATTCCCACCCTCATGCTCTCATATGCACTTACTCCACACTCAACCAACGTGGAGACAGACATAAAGAGACGTTGTACACACGATCACACTCCCCAAGCGTACTCTACAAACCGGGTCTAGGTGCCCCCGCCCCTGGAGGGAGGAACTGCACCCAGACCCAGGTGGTGTTTCCCTTTTCCCTGCGGTGGGGGGAGGCAGACCGCCCCGACTCCGCAGCAGCAGGAAGGCTCCACACTCCAGACCGCAGTCGGACGGCCAACTCCTCCTCCTAGTCCTAGCCCCCCTGCTCCAGCAGGTCGCAGAGAATGGGGGTGAGAGAAGACTCCAAACATACCTACTATCCCTCCTCTGCACATGTCGAGAGCATCTCAGCCTCAGACTTTGTCTGTAAATTGATCAACCCGTGCTATCCCCCTGATATACTCATTTCTAACCTTGTCCATCCTGGTCACACCATAACATCTTCAACTCTTCACCTCCAGTTTGGCCTCCTGTCGTTTCATCAGTCTCCAAACCATATATCATAGCAGCTCTCACTAACACCTTCCCTTTTCACTCTTGCTACTATCTTTCAGTCACAAATCATCCCTGACACTTATCTCCACCCACTCCACCCTGCCTGCACTCTCCCCTTCACCTCTCTTACATGCTGTCCAGTGCTGTGGAGGTTGGTTGAGCCCAGGTATTTAGTTTTGTTTACCCTCACCACCTCTGCTCCTTGCAACTTCACTTTTACACCTGCAGTGGACAAATTCTAAGAAAGACGATAGGAGTATGTTTCTCCAAGAAAAGAGAGGCATGGAAAGCGGGGAGTAAAGATAGAAGACAAGAGAGCGAGAGAAAGAGAGAGGCCTGGTTTGGGTGGCAGCCAGAGACTGAGAGTGGACTGCTGAGATGTGGGTCATCAGGATACCCGTTGGCATCAGGACACATTAATGATCACAGCAGTCACATGGCACTGCAGTCAATATGGGCAAAGTGGCCTTGTTCCACCCTTTAACTCCACCACACACACAAAAAAAATGCACAATTCATCACAACAAGGTTCCTCCTGTCTGTTGTCCTCAGTCACCCACAATTAAAGCTTATCAAACTTAACAGTTATTTTTCCAGTTATCTTTGGTTTTCATCCTTTTTGCAGAGTGTAACTTAATCTGAAAGAGCGCTTTGAACTTTTCACTTGTTCACTTTTCTCCCCTTTTAACTCTCACTCCCTCTTCCTTTCCATCAGTCTCCAACTTTCTTTGCCATATGCCAGGCTATAAATCTAAACACCCCGTCGCTGGTACCCTTGCATCTTCCATGCGCCACACTGACCTCCGAGAATAAATCGACTCAGCATTTTCACTAGTGCGACTTCTTTTACTGTAGTGTGCACTTTCTCTCTTGCTGAACCCAGCGGATGTGCGGGGGCGGGTGAGCGCTCGGTGCCACAAAGGCTGAATCGAACCAGTCACACATCATCTTAAACCCATGCACACACATTCAGTCCAAGTCCAATCAATGTCCTGTTAACAAGGCCAAGACTGCAGTGGAAACAGGTGGGTCGACGGTGCAGTTTTTTGCGCACTGCAC